CGCGCTCTACTCGCACGTGATTGCGAAATCACTTGGATCCGCGCTGTGTGCCGACTCGTGATCGAAGTCGGAAAGCAGTCACGAAACCGGAGTGGCAAAGCAACGCTTGCGCCTCGCGCGTGCACGCACGCACGCTTGCTCGACGTGTAGACAGACGATCAAGTTCCCTCGGGGCGCTGCGCATTCTCTCAGCACAATTCACCTTTGCGCTCAGACTCTCGACTGCATCACTCACTCTCTGCACGCCTGCGAGATGCCGGGTTCAGTAGGAGATACAGTACATGCTGCTTTGCTGTGTGCAAGCTTCGAGGTTCGAATTGGAAGAGCATGCATGAGGAATGATTTGCACGCTAAGCAGAGCTCCTCGCAGCCAAGCAAGATTTCAAAACGTGGCTTGACTGCGCATGGGAGCGACTCGATCGAACTCTGCTTGCATGCATGCATGCACGCTTCACGGCACGAAAGCCGATTGCCGCCTGTGCGTGTACCGGTATAGTCAGAAGAGTACGTTTTCAGCGCAGCTGCAACCCCAAGGCCTAAACTAAGGCCGAATGATTTGTGGAGCTCATCATCGTGGACGCTCAAACAGTTGACTACGTACAGTACATCGAGACGTTGCTGATGAGCAGCGTCGATCGATGTGAAAAGAGGCGAACTGATCGATCACCTTCCCATTCTGGTGCCCCACACAGCAAACATTCACGATTGCACAGGCCTAGACCGCCAGCAGAAAATTTCATCCGAGATTGTGGGGTCCTGATGGCAGCACGAGCCGCTGTTTGACCAGCAATCCTCGTCGACGCTGCATCTATCAGGCGTCAGGCGATCAGCGCGCACAGGCCTTCAGCATTGACGATTGTCGAGCGCGCCATGGTACATGCAGTACTGCTGCTACTACACTCACTACTAGCAGTTCGAGTACGCAGGAGTTAGCAATAAGAATCGCATGCCCATCCAGCATATGCACATGCCAATGAAGGCTTCACGGGCGGGCGCGTGTAGTAGCTAATTAGTGTAGTGATACAGGCGTCGTATAGTACGCGTCCGCGATGAGGCCGGCTGATTGACCCGCGGAGGCATTCACGGTCCTCGTGAAACGCACTTTGTTGCCTGTTTCACACATTGATCACGGTGAGGGTGACAGCTGCGCCAGTGAAGCCCCTTGCACGCGCGCCTCTGAAAGCTCGTCATTCACGCTTCTCACTCTCTCCTTTCAACACGCTCGATCATCAGAGGGCCGAGGTCTGGCCCGAAGGGCGGGCGAGGTCTGTCAAACGAATCGCAAATTGCAAACTTTGGTCTTTTGATGCGGCTGTGCTGCATAGCCCAACCAAATTTAATTGCGTATACTGTACGCGCGTGATGCTTGCTCCTGCAGCAACGAAACTTTTACGCGCGGTCTTCTGAACCGTGCGTGCTGCGCGTTGCTGCTGCTGAGGTCGCATGCCTCCGAAATCAGTTGAGCTGATGGGACAACGAGGGGCGCCAACGCGCCAACCCCGGCCATATCGAGATCGAGCACTATGGCAGTATGCAGCTCAGATCACCCCTTCCTTTCACACGGTGGTGCAAGCTAAGCTGCCTTGACGTGCCTGCACCGCACCATCGCACGCAGGCATGCATGCATGCATGCATGCGCGTATTCATGGTGCGCGTATCTCTGGGCGCGAACCCGGCTCTTTGAAACTCAGATAGCGCTCGCTCGCTCGTCTCTGTGTGTTGTGTGAGGCGTGCTTGGCCTGAGCTCCTTGCTTCCTCTGGCTGCTCCACCCAAGCGAGAAGCGACTGGCTGGCCTTTCGTCTCACGCACAGAATTCGGCAGCTCGTATATATATATAGCTGGCAAGCCGGGGCATGTACTGGCCAGCTCGCTCCTCAACCTCCTCGACTGGCAACTTCGTCATACCACCGTCGACATCGCACGTAATTACAAGCCCGACACCTGACCAAACCACTAGGTGAGTGCTTACAGATATTTGCATTGTCCGTATTTCTCGTCAGCCCTACGGCTGGATGTCAGGAGCGGTGACATTTCTGCGGTGGCGATTAGCCTTGGCGCGGTTGCTTCGTCATCAGGTCAGCGGGAATGGTCATGATGGGTGTCACGATGCCTCTGGTTGTTGGAAGGCTCGGTGATGCCGCATTCGAAGGGCGAATTCTTCGGTATTCCTCCTTTTTACGCAACCCGGCTTCGGTGGAGTGCTCAAGCATCAGGCTCGCCACGCGTGCCCCGCAGAGTCGTCACTGAAGCCCATCAAGAGTGCTGCTAGCAGTATCGCAATTCTTAGTCACGCGCTCACAATACGCTCCGCTCTTTCTGGCTCTTCACGTCTTGCCACCCCAGTCAGACACGATGGCCGCCACCGCAACTCCAGTCGCAAACGGAACGCCCAGCTACGGCGAGGCTGTCAAGCGTGTCACTTCCATCCCTCTCGTCTCGGAGTCTCTGACCTTCGCTCAGTCCACCATCGACGCACACCCCTTTCTTCTGGCCCGTCCCTACCACCTTGGACAATCCGTGGTCACCAAGGGGCTGGACGTTGCTCAGCCCGTCACCGCTCGCATTTCCCCTCAGCTTCAGATTGCTGACCAGTGGGCTGTCAAATCTTTGAACTTTGCTGAGTCCAAAGGTGAGTTTGGAGGAGCCGATTAGAGTTGGATGGTCGCGTGCGCACCAGCCATCGTGTGAAGCCCTACCATTATTCGTGACGCCTGCTAATCGCGCATACATCTGTACTCGCACAGTGCCGTACCCATTCCACGCCACCTACAATGATCTCTACTCCGCCGCGCGCTACCCTGCCGACCAGACCCTCCAGCTGATTCACGCTTATGCCGCCGCTATCAACAAGGCCTACGATGAGCGCATCTTGTCGCCCGCCAAGAGCGTCTACAGCAGTCGCGTGGCTCCTTACGTTCAAGCTGCCGAGAAGAATTTCCAGGACCTCCAGGCTCAGAATGCGTACGTCGCTCGTGCAGTCGAGCTCACCCAGGGTCTCGTCAACAATCTTCAGCAGCAGGTGAACACCATCCAGAGCGGAAGCCGCGCCCAGGCAGACGCTGCGAGCAAGAAGGCCCAGGCTACTTCTCAGGCCATCTTCGCTGAGCTGGACCGCGTTCGCTCATTCGCCCAAGCTCTCCCTGCCGAGTCTCGCAAGCGTTTCGACCCAGCTCTCCAAACCTTCACCGACGCTTACGAGACTCTTCGTCGCGAGGCTCTCGACAGCAAGGTGCCCGCTCAGGAGCGTCTCAACCGCATTGTCGCCTACGTCCGTGAGCAAACCATCCCTGCTCTGCAAAAGAGCTTGTCCAACGGCAGTGCTCCCCAGGCAAACGGTGTCGCCAAGTAAAGCAACAAACGAAGTCATCACTGGCGCAGCTCTGACCTTTTGTGACCCTTCACACAAGTGAAGCAGTTTCTTCATAGATTTGCGACGCGCACCCTCTCGCCAGATTATGAGCCTTTTGAACGCTCAGTCGCGCAGAGTGTCGCACCTCGCTTTGTAACATTTTCCGAGCTCGGCTCCTTCTTCAAAGTCCAATCCCATTCCCCCCTTCAAATTGTCATTGTCCCCATCTCAACGTTCAGGTTTCCACATTTCGAAGCTCTCACGACACCGCGAATCAAATAAATCCAGTAGCCTAAAAGTGTCCGTCTCAGGTGGCGCAGTACGTGTAGCTCACGCCAGTAGACTCTTCCCGACCAGACCACTTTTGTCAAACCCGGCATCGCGTTCGAGCAATGTTTGCCGAAAGGACTAGCGGTTGGTGCACATCGACTTGACTCCTCGAATGGTGTGGTATCGGTGTATGCCGTATCAGCAGTCTGAGTCATGAGTCATGCGTCATGAGTGAGAGCTTATTGCCGGAGCGTGGCTGGACAGAAGCACGTGACGTGATTTCCCGATTCCCGCGGCCCGCGCCCAACACCTCATGCACAACAGTATGCTGCATGTGTATATCGGTGCACATCATT